CACACTGAGATACCATCTCACTCCTGAAAGAATGGCCAGGATCAAGAAAACCAACAAGAAATGCTGGAGAGGCTGTGGGGAAAAAGGAACTCTCCGGCACTGTTGGTGGGAATGTAGACTGGTACAGCCTTTGTGGAGATCTGTCTGGAGATTTCTCAAAAATTTGGGATTGGAAATCCCATTTATTCCAGCTATTCCACTTCTAGGCATATTCCCAGAAGAACTGAAAGCATCATACCACAGTGATATATGTGCACCTATGTTTATAGCAGCACAATTTGTAATTGCCAGATCTTGGAAACAACCCAAGTGTGCATCAACTGAGGAATGGATAAAAAAGTTGTGGTATTTCTATACAATGGAGTAATATTCAGCTATAAACAAGGATCACATTGAGATATTTATCAATAAATGGGCGCAGCTTGAGACCATACTCATAAGTGAAATAAATCAATCTCACATGTGTGAATACCAAATAGTTTCCCTAATGTGAGTAATGATTCAAATATATAAAAATATGTGGTAATCATGATTCCCCATTATGTGGCCTTGAAGCCTTAGAAAGTTTTCACTCATTAATTAGAAAGGCTTTATTCTGGGCTTCTTGATATGGAAATATTTGAAGCTATAGTATATGAAGTTTTATCCAAATATTTCAAGGAAAAAGACAGACACTATGGTAACTACTATTAAGTCGGGTTATATGGTGGTGAAGTACTAGGTTGCTGAAACAGTCATGCTTTGACCTCTATTGTTATATTGTTATGTCCTGTTTTATCTCAATCTCCCCCTTATTCTTTAAAAAAATTATTTAGTTATTTCTTATGTTTGTTTTAATTAAGGGGAAAAATTTTAAAAATTAGGATATATAATAGTAACTCTTTTTGATTTCCTATTAACTTGTTTTGAAGTCCTATAATACTCCCACGATCTTGTTTTGACTGATTAGACTCTGTTACATTCTGTATGATAGTATCAAGTTTGAGGGGATAGGCAACTACTTTGAAGGCAATAAGATTCACGAAGATGCCCATTCTGGTTTGACTATTGTCTCCTTTGGAAATCCTGTAATGTTTACAATGCCTAAGTTTTATTGGTCTTGTTCTCTACTGTTTTGTCCAACTTTATAATATCTCATGAGATAGACAATTCTTTTTAAGGAAACAAGAGACAACGTTGATAACCATTGTTGATAACCTTGTACTCTGTTCTACACCATATGCTATGTCTATCCTTGGTTTTGACTGACAGCTTTGTTTTGCCATATTTGACTTTATTCTCTCCCCCCCCAAAAGTAATAAGAACTAAGGAGTAATAAAATCCAAAATGTGTAAATTTTGTTGTAAAAAAGAGAGGGGAAAAAAAAAGAGCTCTAACGGATATAACAGCAAGTGTGTTTAGGGGTGTTAAATAGCTGACTATATCAATGTTTTTGGATCATTGAACACAGCTGTTTGCAGTCTTCCTGTTTGAATGTCCACTTTGTATTCTTTGATACTGTGATTTGAGCAACTATTTTCAAGATGATAATATGTAATCTATTAACAGGTGATTTCTTACTGTTATGTTTTTTTTTGTAGTTCTGTATTACGTGTACCCTTACACTGCTTTGTTTTGCTTTGTGTTTTTCTCTTTTTCTTCTTAAATAAAATTTTTTAAAAAAGACTTTGTCTAAGAAAGAAAGAAAGAAAGAAACAAACAAACAAACAAACAAACAAACTCCAGTGGTGCTCCCATGGTTAACATGGTTCCAGGCAAGCCCATGTGTGTTGACAGCTTCTCTGACTATCCAGCTCTCGTTCATTTCACTGTTTGCAGTATGAGACAGACAGTTGCTGCTGTGTGTCATCAATGCAGCAGACAAAAAGAGTGCCAGCACAGGCAAGGTCACCAAGTCTGCCCAGATGGCTAAATGAGTATTATCCCTAACACCTGCCACCCCAGTCTTAATCAGTGGTGGAAGACTGGTCTCCAGAACTGTTTCTCCCAACTTCTCACTGAAGTTTAATAGAGAAAGAGTGGCTAACGACAGCAATGCATCGTAAAACCTTCAAAAAAAAAAAAAAGGAGAATGCTTTGTGAGCCATTTGTTTTTCTGTGTGTGGTAGTTTTAAGTTCTTCATTTTTAAAATCAATACTTTTTAATGGAAACAACATGACCAAAAATCTACCACAGAATTTTGAGACCCATTAAAGCAAACGTTTTTTGTTGTTGTTGTTTGTTTTGTTTTTTGCGGTCCTGGGGATTGAACTCACGACCTTGTGCTTGCCAGCAGGCACTTACACCACTGAGCTAAATCCCCAGCCAGCCCATTAAAGCAAAGGTTAATGAGAAAGAAGAAAAGAAGAAAAAAAATGCTACCAGGCCTTCTGTGACAGCCAGGTAAGCCATGTTTCTTCTCCAGGAGTGAACACATTCTTCACATGTAAGCATCCACTATAAGGTCCCAGAGGCCTGAGCTGGTCCTTAGGGAGACACATTTGATGCAATGGTTTGAAATTATTGGTTCCAAGGGGCCGAGGGTTTCGCTCAACGGTGTAGGTGCCTGCTTGACAAATGCAAGGTCGCCAAAAAAAAAAGCTACAAAGCAAATATTTTGGGGCTGGGGATTTAGCTCAGCAGCATAAGCACCTGTCTTGCAAGTGTGTGGTCATGAGCTCAATCCCCACATGTGAGAATCCACTGTGAGGTCCCAGAGGCCTGAGCTGGTCCTTAGGAAGACACAGACTAGTACAGAGACTTCAGAAGAAGAGATGAAGTTTCTCTGAGTGAACCAGAAAGAGGAAGAACTTTGTACACAAGATCCAGTGCTACATGGTGATTCCCCTCTGCTGCTGTTCCTGGAACCATGGTCATTTTCTTTCTAGAATGTCCTTCAGCACTCTTTGTACAGTTGGTTTGGTGTTTGTGAATTCCGTCAGTTGTTCTGTATCATTGAAGTATCTTATTTCTCTGTTAATTTTGAAAGATAGTTTTGCAGGATACATAAATCTGGATTGGAAATTGTTTTCATTCAGGACTTGAAATACTTCACTCCAAGATTTTCTTGATGTGATAACTTGTGTTGAGAAGTCTGCCATGATTCTGATGGATTTTCCTTTATAGATGATCTGTTTCTTTTCTCTAACAGCTTTTAATATTCTGTTCTTGTGCTGAATTTCTGGGATCTTGATATGTCTGGGTGTAGATTTATTTTGGTTATGGTTCATTGGAGTTCTATATACATCACTTATCTGCATGTCAGATTCTTTTCCCATGCTTGGGAATTTTTCTGCTATTGCCTCTGTAAATAGTGTTTTTATATCATTTGTGTTGACTCCTGCTTTTTTGCAATATCTCTCACTCTTAAATTATTTTTCTTTGCATCATTTTGCAGCTGTTGAATTGTTATTTCCTGGTTTCTTATTATTTTGAAGAGATCTTTCCCTTTGGAATCACTAGCTTCAGTGTTGTCCTCAAGGTCTGAAAGTCTACCTTCAGTTTTTTTTCAAGCAGTTTTGCTAGTTTTCAATGGAGTTTTTAATTTCCTGGATATCTCTTTCAATCTGTTTCATGCATTATAATTCTTTCCTATATTGTTCATTCAAAGTTCCAACATTTTCCTATGCTCCTCTTTCTTTTATGTATATCTTCTTTAGATGTACTCAGCATTTCTTTCATTAGGGTTGTCATTTCTTCTTTTACTTGAGATATTATTTCTGATCTGATTTCTTTTACAGCTTCATGAAATTGTTTCTTTACTACAACTGCTATCATTTCAGAAATTTTAGGTGCACAATTTCCAAGTTATTCTATGTCTATATCTCCTAGGCTTGTTCTGTGTGAACTGGAAGCCTGAGATTGCCTTTTGCTCCTTCATCTTGACATTTCCCTGGGTTTCTCTAGATGACCCAGTTGTGGGGTCCAAGGTGCTTTCTACACTGGCTGCCCATCTATGATGTAGGGGAATGGTCCAGGCATCTGGGTTTCTCCAAATCTGGGTTCCTGAGGAGACAGTGGGGTGCAAGATGGACTTCTCCAGACCAGCACAGCTACACTGAAACTTCCCCCTGTGGTGGAGAATATGCAGGCACATGGCTTGCTGCTTCTCCTGGCCCATGCTGCCTACTGGCAGGAAAATTCCTCCAATGGCAGTGGGTACACAGGGTGTGGCTGGCTGCTTTATAAGTGTGTGATTTATTTTATGAAAGGTAGAGAGTCAGTGGGTACTTTTAAGCAATTATCATCTTCCAATGTAAATGCTTAAAGAAATCTAGTTACTGTGCAGAGATGAATTACTGAGGCCAAGGGAGATCCCTGCAGCAGTCCAGACTATAGGTGGTAGTGGCCTGAACCAGGGAGGGAGTAGAGGAGACAAAAGAAAGCAAGTAGATTAATGAAATGTTTGAGAGGATACAATCAGAAAGACATTCTGAGGGGCCGGGGATTTAGCTCAGCAGCATAAGCTCCTGCCTGGTAAGTGCGAGGTCGTGAAAAAAAAGACATACTGAGAAAGACTTGAGTTGGGGCAACTAGGTGGATGTTAGTGCAATTTATAGAAATAAGAAAGTCTGGGGGAAAGTCATTTAGGGAATGGAATCAGGAGTTCTGTTTGGGTCCTGTTAATTTGAAGATTCTTATTAGTTGTCCACATGGCCACATTGAGTAAGGAATTGGTTGTGTGAGTTGGCGATGCCAGGAAAAGTCAAGCTGGAGATTTAAAGCCACAAGACCATATGGGGCCAACAAAGGAGAGTGTGTAATGGGTCACCAAGACTATTCATATAGTTAGTAGCAGAGCAGAGCAGCAACAACATCACAAAGACAGAAGGGTGAGTGGTCTGTGAAATAACAAGAAAATCAGAAGAGTGTGGTAACCTGGGCATCAAAAGAAGGACTAACCACATGTGCCAAGTGCTGCCAAGAGATAAAGGAAAAATAGACATGGCCATTGGATTTGATCCATGAAGGTCATCAGTGACCTTGATGAGAAAAGTCTCAGACACAAACATTAATAAAAATGGCCTTGAATCAAGGCCCGCAACTTCCTGACACTGTTGGTCGCAAACAAGAGCCTAAAGAGATGTCTTTCTATGTCTGTTGGCCATTTCAGAATTTGGCAGTGAAATGGTCAATTCATTAGAAAGAGGCAGCTTGAAGCAACCCCTCCCCACCCCGTGAGCGGCTGTGAGCATGGCAGGCTATGGTGGCCCAGGACAGGAGCCAGTGGCGTTTACTGGGACCTGCACCACGCTGGGAGCTGGAGTGCCAGGAAACCAAGCAACCCCTCCCCCCTGCCTGTTTTGTTTTGTTGAACTTCAATATACATGAAAGTATGGGCAGCTATTTTGAAGAGAACGAGAGACTCTACGACAGCCATTAGTGACTTCCATATTGTCTGGTTTTGAACACCTAATGCCTTCCTCATTCTGTTTAGATCAATTTTATACTATGTTGTTTTGTATGAATTCTCTGTATGCAAAGACATGGACAACTATTTGGAAGAAAACAAGAGACAATATGATCAATATTGAAGATCTCAGGTTGTCTAGCTTTGAAATTTATATCTCGTACATTGCTTTCTTATGTCCTATTTTGTTCTGTTTTGATGTGTATAATTTTACCCCCTTTAAAATAAAAATAAAAACTAAAAAAAACACAAATATTAATAAAAGCATAACCCGATGGGGTAGGTGAGAGATTGGAGGTTGTGGGAACTAAACCAAAGCTGTAGGCAACTCTTAACACATTTTTTGTGAAGAGATGCAAAATTTAAACCAAGAACCAGAAGCAAGTGTTGTTATAATTTATATCTAATTGTCCCCCAAGGGTCTCATTCACCCTGCGGTGTACTTTTGGAAGAAGACTGAACCATAAAATGGTATAGCTGACTTGCTATTAGGAGGTGGAGGCAAATTGTTAGGAACATGAACAGGGAGGACCTGTATCCCTCCCTGCCTCTCTTCTCTTCTGTCTCTGTTCCCTGGCCACCACGACATAAGCAGATTTCCTTCATTCAGGCCTTTTCACTGTGCTATTCCTATGGTTAAGCCTACCAGCCATTAACTGAGACTTCTGAAACTATGAGCCAAATTAAACCGCCTTCTTTTAAATCGTAGCTATTGTGTCTCAATAAGAATATAACTAAGGTTACTTTCAAGAGAGGATTTTAAAAGACACACAAATGTAGAGCAAGCCTGCATGTTGATGTGCAAGATAGTCAACCTCCCTTAGCTTTAGTTTTCTGTGTATAAAATGGAGACTGAGACACTCATGATTGCAGATCATTAGAATTACATCGGTTAATATATAGTAAGTCCCTAGTACCACACCTAATTCAGGGCAGACTCAGTACTTCTTGGTTCCCTTCCCAAGAAAGGATGCTTGAGTCTACCAGGTTCTTGCTGGTAAATGCAAGACAGAGTCAGATGACAGCACTCAGTTCCCACTCTATTGATTGCAATAGAGAACAAGAAGCTGGTAGAAAATGAATCATGACAGGAATAGCAGAATCAAGAAATCATTTGAGAGCACACTTACTTCCACCATGAGCACACACTGAGAACTCTTTTTCCCTCTTCTCTTGCATTCTAACCAAAATAGGAATCTTTCCCTCAAGTCTCCATACAGGGACCCCATCTGAGCCACAGGACACAGATCACTTACACAAATATTTTCACACATTTGAAACATAACCAGCACCATTGTAGGAACACCAGAGGGAAGTTAATCTATTAAATCCAATGCATGGCTTAAGCCAGTTGGACTTGGCTGAACAAAGCTTCTTGCAGGGCAGAAGCCACTTCTAATTTACACTGTCCAGGGCCCTTTGCACCATGAAATGCATACAAAGGCTTGAGGGGGGTGAGAGAGGAAGTCATTGTCAAGGAGTTCTTCTGCCTGCAGCTCTGGACTGAGGGCAGGGACGTGCAGCTACAGAGATGGCATTTTAAGCAGGGTCCTGGAGAAGAGTAAGGGTTTGGAATTGATGAAAAGCAGATCTATTCAGACTTGATCTTAAGAAAATTGGTAGACAGCACCACCTAGTGGTTAAAAGTCTATAATGTTCTTAATGGGCTAGGAAACCACCGTGGTTAATAAGATCATCTTATGTGAAACTCCAGCTGCTAAAAGGGGCCCTCCTGGTGCCCACGGCTTCCCACCTTTCCCTGATTCCTCCCCTTTTGAAGATTCACACTGAGTACACAGTAGATAAAGGTCTTGCGCTCCTAAGCCTTACCTTTTAATGGAGGAGAATGAGAAGCCATACAAAAATACACATGCATGTCAGGTTCTATAAAGAAGAATGAAGCAGGCAGGATAAGGGTGAGAGTGAGGAATGTAAAATATCATTTTGCACTATTGATAAGGCCCAGTAAGAAAAGCAACTGTTACTGATTCAATGCAATCCCAATGAAAATACCATCAGCATACCTCATAGACCTAGAGAAATCACTCCTAAAATTCATCTGGAACCAGAAGAGACTTAGAATAGCAAAGACAGTTATAAGCAGCAAAGGCAAGGCAGGAGGCATCATAATCCCTGATTTGAAGTTATACTACAAAGGTACTGTAATAAAATCAACATGGTACTGGAATAAAAACAGATATGAAGATCAATGGAATAGATTATAAGATACAACCACAACTACAAATACACTCAACTACCACATCTTTAATAAGATGGCCAAACATGTTCACTGGAGAACGACAGTCTCTTTAATGCTGGAAAAACTAGCTCTCCATATGCCAAAAACTAAAACTAGACCCATGCTTATCACTGTGTACTAAAATCTAAATGGTTCAAAGATCTAAATATTAAAACAGAAACACTAAATCTGTTGGAAGACAAAGTAGGTAAACATCTTGAAGACATTGGGGTAGGTAGAGAATTCATGAACAGGAATCAAACCACATGGGAACTACTCCCCAGAATCAATAACTGGGATCACATCTTATTAAAAAGTTTGTGTATGTCAAAAGAAATCTCCAGCATAATGAAACGAAAATCCACAAACTGGGAAAAAAATCTTAGTGAACTGTCCCTCAGACAAAGGTTCTGTCTAAAACTTATAAAGAATTTTTTTAAAAAATCAGATCCCCGAAATTCAAAGACCCAATCCAAAAATGGGCATCTGAGATGAATACACAGTTCTCAGATGAAGAAATACGAATGGCAAATAAATACATGAAAAAATGTTCATTATCATTAGTCATTAGAGAAATGCAAATTAAAACAAGGCTGAGATTCCATCTCACTCCAGAAAGAATGGTCAAGATAAGAGTCCATCGTAATCATGATTCCCCATTACATTGTTCTGAAACCTTATAATGATCACATTGGTTAGTTGTAATGGGTTTGTCCTGGTTTTTTTAATTTTATTATCTGTGATGTTATGAACAGCTAATTTGAGGGAAACAAGTCATTATAATACCCAGTCATTATAATACCCATTATAATATCATCTCACTCTGAAGCCCTACTATGCTTTTGCTCTTCTGTTTTCATTGGCTCTATCATGTTGTACCTTACTGAATTGTATTTGTGTGAAAGTATAAACAAATTTTCTATGGAAAATGAGATAATATAGTAGCCACTGTTTGTTTTCTGTTATTTGGTTCTGAATGCCTTGTGATACTCTCATTCTCTTGAATGTTTTTATACTATTTATGTTTGATACTATTGTATATGAAGTTATACTCAACTATTTCAAAGAAAGCGACATTGTGGTAGTTACTGTTAATTACAGGTTGTTTTCTAGTGAAATTCTGTGTTGCTTACATTGTACTATTCTGATCTGCTTTGTTATGTCCTGTTTTGTCTTAATCTCTTTAAAATAAAAAAAAATTTTAAAAAAGAAAGAAAATCAACTGTTACTAAGAGTCTTATTTACGTGCTTATTACACTGGCTACCCTAGAATTCTGCTTCCAAATTGGAGAAATGAGCACTTAACACACAGAACAAACTGATTATTCCTCAGATAAAAACTATAAACTCTAGCAACTTTTAAAAACACAACTGAGAGCCTGAAAGGCCTACAAAGCAGGTAGATGTAGGAGGTCACTGAAAATTGCAAATGAGCAGCAACACAGAATGAGTTCCTATTTTGTTGTGGCTCTGGCGTGAGAGCAGCTGCAAGTGTCGTCATAAAGAATGCAACAAGGGGATGGAGGAGAAAATGGCGGCTTGCTAGGGTATCGAGCGGAGAGTCTCTCCAGAGAAATCATATTAGAAGCTAGAATATGACAACATGGAGAGGGCCAGACAAATGGATAACGATTCTTATGAACCAAGACAGCGCAGCTGGAGGATTTAAAGTCGTGCTGAGACTGTGAAGGCTGATAACGGGAGACTGCAAATCCTGTGCCTTTAAATCAACAAACTGACTCGTGGACCCAACAGGGAAAGCTGTGTTGGCTTTTGGTGATTGCTGGAAACTGAGACCTGGGACCCTGAGAAGCAGCCAGGACTGCCCCGCTGCACCAGAGGAGATTGTGAAAGGCTCTGGAGCTCCAAAGCCAAACGCTGAGCAGATTTCTGACCGATCCGCGCTGTGCCGAGAGTGCGGGAAAGGTGGGTGGCGTGGTGTGCGGTGGACCTGGGAAAAGGACCTGTGCTGGACCCTGATGAGTACTGGGGACCCCGCAGCTGCTGGGGTTGGCCAGAGAACATCTTGGAACTGGGAAGTGCCCGCCACCACGGGGACATCAATAACACAGAGTCTGGTGGCAGCCATCTTAGAGTTGGGCAGAACCTACAGCTCAGTGGCATCACTGAGTCCCCCTGTAAGGAGGGCTTGTGGAAGACATCTTGAAATTGGGCAGACCCTGAGTACGTGCTGGCTTCAGTGTCATTCAGAGAACTAGTGGGAGACATCTTGGATTTGGGCAGATCTGCTGTTCTGGTGCTCCTGTCACAGAGAGGTCTGGAAGAAAACAGCTGGGATTTGGGCAGAAACCTGTGCCATAGTGACATTAGTCAGCTGCTTCTGGTACAAAGAGAACCGGCAGGAGCTACTGGGGCTAAACCAAGCCTCTGCTTGGGGCCCAATAAGCAGATACAAAATAGTCACAACTCAGTGACATCCAGAAAGTACAGCCTAATTTACAGATTGACTGGCGCAGAGGCTGGAGACTAGCCTGTACCGCCCCTG